GTTCAGTATAGAAAACTATCAGTCTAGATCTTCGTACTATAAATTTTATGGTAACAGTTACAGAGAATATTTCTGAATGACTGGTTATTCAGCATATTTACAAATATCAAAGTACAGGAAATAGTGAAAACTCAAATATACCAGCATGCTGAAAATCCGTAGATTTATCTGGTAAAAGGCTCATGTACAGATTTTTAGACATGACTAACAGATGTACTTAAAACTATAACTTTGAGTTTATAGTGCATGCATTACCACAAACATGTGCAGATGTATTTTAAATCACTGTATTCTGAGCACAAGCTAAATAAAATGATATCCTTCTACATGTAACTAAATCTTCTTACAATGCACAATTTGCAGAATACACTGGTAAGCACAGTGATCAAACTAGTACACGCTCTCGAGGAACAGCTAAAAACGTTATGCACATAGTGACATAGACCTGCCAAAAAACTCAACTCACAGTGGCACTGTGCCCACAACATGCCAACTCCTGGGTCACCAATCTTTTCCATCTACAACAAAAAACACAAGGCCATAACAGGCTGACATAAACTTCCTGTAATGCTACACCAAAGATGTAAAAGACTAATCAACATGAACTCTGACACTTGGTGCCATTGTATTGTCGTTGCCAGCTTGTCGTATGTACATTAAAAAATAAAGCTTCATTACCTCCAAAAGATTTGTTGAGAGAACCGTTCGGACGTCCCCTGGCACCTGACGGACTCCCGTTCTGTTCCAGCCTGGCCACCTTGAGTGGGGGCGGACTTTTAGCATCTGGACTGTTGCTCCGTCGATCCGGACTGTCCCTTAAACTGGGACTCTCGCTTCTCATTTCCATACTGTTCTGGTTTGGAGACAATGCTCTCCCAGGCAATTCGCAATAATACGGATCTAATGAAGGAATTAGGGGAAAATAAAATGATACTTAAAAAGATGATCTAGATAGGTCTCATATATTTTCTACTTATAGAATGTGACATATTTTTAGTATACATCTAATAAAGGGAAGACTACACTTTACGGCTGTAGCTTGTAAATAAATAAACAATATTCTAAATACACGCAAAAATATCTATATATTTACTATTGCACTTTTATGCCTTTAGTTGAACTTTTTGATAACTGACATCAAATGAATATAATAAAAATAATAAAAAATAATAAATTAATATCTGCATTACCAGAGGCTACAATAAAAAAGATTACATTGAATTAAAAAGATTGTGACAGCTGTTCAAATGCATATTTAATACATTTTCTGCAATGCATATGATTCTTCTCTGTTAAATGTGAAAAGTTTACAGCTGCGTGTGCGTCTATACACACGTACACTAATAACACTTCATTAAAGTGCAAGGTAGTGTGATATGCTGTACAAAATCTGTATATACATATTGCAATTTATAGTCTGATAGAATTTACAAATCAAATTCTAGATGAGCAGAAAGTATACATTTTTACAAATGTAAATGGACAGAGAGCTTTAAAGCTCATTAACCCTTAAAATGCTGGCATGATAATTATACAATTATATCCATACATATATAGACATACATATACACACATGTGAATGCAAGTATATATATATATATATATATATATATATGTGTTTGTGTGTGTATATATATATATATGTGTGTGTGTGTGTTATTTACAAATATACATATATATAAAAATATTAAATATACTGTGTATATTGTATTCACAATACTGTGTAAATATGTGTGTATACAAATATGTATGTGAGTATATAAGTGTGTGTGTGTCTGAGGTATGTCTACTAGATCAAAATATATTTATGTAAGTAAATATACATATATATATATATATATATATATATTGTGTGTATATATATATATATATATATACACACACACATATACAATATATATATATATATATATACACACACTATATATATATATATATATATACACACACACATATACAATATATATATATATACACACATGTCTACATTTATCTGTAACTTACAGAAAAACCTTTCTATTTCCAAACAGCTTGCAGGACTGAGTGTGTTCCAATACACATTTCCTGTGATAAATGTAAGAATTATGCAGAATATTGTCAGGCTGGCCACCATGCAGCTGAATGAGTGGATCAGATCTTTTGTGCAGTTTATAGGTAGAGAATAAAAAGCTGTCATAAACTTTAATAGAATACTTTCAAGCTGTAAAGTGTGTATGTGTGTATATACATATATGTATATTTATAAATGTATCTAGACAGGTCTGTAGGTAATATCCACTTGATTTCAGAGCAATAAGACTGTGCGTTTATGGAGGTGGGTTACAGCAATGGCTACCCAGGACACATGACATGTTTAACTGCCCATTAATAGAGGTAATAAAATAAAAACGTGATTTTACATGAAGCCATTAAAGGAGCCTCCTAAGGTATGTACTTACTGCTTAAAGCCGGTCTGTAGGTAGCCTGGGATGGGCTGAAGCTCTGCCCATGGATCATAAGTAAAGACTCCAGGATGAGAAGTTTTTCTTAGCTTTTTTTCCCTCCTTATGATTCACACTTTTTCCTCCTCTTTTGTCTTCAAAGTTGTCTTTTGTTTATCTTTTTTTGTTTGTTTGTTTTGTTTTTCCTTCCTTATTGTCTTCTGCTGGAGGTAAGGTGGTGGTTAGAGTGGAGAGGTCATTTGATGCCCCACAATCTTCCTGTTTCAGAGTGCAAGAGGCAATGGGGACAGTGTCTGAGATTCTTCACACCTTGAATAAATAGGAAATCAATGCACTAGAACCACAAACTGGTGGGCAGCTGCTTAGTGACACCATTCACTTTAAAAAAAAAAAAACCCTTAGAGCTGGCTGCAAGCAGAGGCAATGTGACAGACTCAATCTCTCGTTTAGTCTGCCAGCAACACAAACTGACTGGCACCAGACACACACAGACACTACTGATTATTAGTTACGTTGAGTCAAGTCCTTTTGGGGCTGTCCCTGGTATCCTGATTTCAGCTTTTACCCCCCTCTCTCTCTCTCCTACACACCCCCATACAGACCTGATCCCATGCAAGCATATAGCTATTAAAAAGGGAAAGAAGAGAAGGGGAGAGAGAGGATTTGATTCAGATATGGGGAGGGGAGGATCAACACACAGGAAGGAAAAAAAAAGATCTAAAGGAGGAGGCAGAGGGGGGGAAAAAGGAAGGACTTTAAAACCTGCTGTGGATTTGCTGCTTGGGGTGATTTTTTGCTCTCCCTCTCTCTCTCTCCCAGACTAGGGTGGCAATTCATTTTGGACAGTGAAGATTCACAGAGAAAAAAAAAAAAAGGATACAGCCAGCCAGCCTGAATGGGAAGAGGAGACGTGAAGCTCAGCTGATCTGTGCCTTTATCTTCATAGTGTTTCTATGTCCACACAGACAGGAATGCATAATGAGCCTGATCATTGTATGGAGGTCTGGTATTTATGATAGCTAATAGACGATGCATGATCAGTTGAATGGCAGTTTGGCCTTTCATTTGGGACTCATGACACTGGGATATGCACAGGCGTGGACAGTCCTAGGGCAACGTTCCAATATGGATACTTTGTATCAATTAGGACTGATATTTATATACTTTGAACATTCTATGTCTGCTTTATTTTGTTGTTGTTGTTTTTGTTGTTGTTACTATTATTATTATGTGTTATTATTGAACAGTGCCATTCTAAGTAATATAGAATATATGTATTTATGTACATGTTTTTTTTGTTGTTTTTTTTTTTTTTTTAATTAATGTTTTATCCTTCGTGTGTGCTGCTAAGTCCCATACGTATAGGGGTTAATTTTACAGACATTCGGTTGTACTATTAATAAGTGAGAAAAAAGTGTGACAGTCTGGTTAAACCTGTATGGCGAAAAAAAATATGCTGCATTGTTTCATGTTTGTTATTCTTCTAAGTGCATTGTTTGTATTGAACTTATGTAGGTGGATGTGATCTGTACGTGTGTTTTGTTATGTTATTGTATGCAGTGAAGTCTGCTTTCCCAGCCTGCCTCCTTCTGCTGTTAGTTCCCTATGGACAACTTTCATTGCAGGTTAGTAATTACACGTGTGTTCTCTCTTAGCGATAAAATAACAGAGAGCTTGTCATTAAGACCCCGTGTCACTAGTCACAGGACTATATAAAGTGGGTGTTAGATGGGGGTAGGTCTTTTAGAAGGTGAATGATTATTAAAGTAAAGGAGAGCATATTACTCCAGCTGTGTCTTCCCATCCTTATAGCCAGTGTACTAGCTAGAATGTCTATGAAATTGATTAAATAACGCTATAATAAGTCCCCATAGGATTATGAATGAAGAAATTATTCACTGTAGTTATGAGTGCATGCAATGTTCTATCGTTCATAAAATTACTAAATGCATCTCATCACATACATTTGCAAGCATCTCAATATAAAAAATGTGGCTACTTTAAAAACGCATTTTAATGTAACGTCAGTAGCGCTCCAAGTGTCCCGCGTGGGCGGGGCCTAGAACAGCTAACACTGTACCCCATGGTCACGTGGCAATTAATGGAACTCTTGCTATACTTGCTCAAAGTAGGTAGAATGGAGAGGCCACTTCTGCCTCTCCATTATTTAATGTGAGCTACGCATACAGACTGGCACACATACCTGGGACACTAAAATGTCTACTTAAAGAATACTTTCTATTAATGGCTTCATAAAAGGGGACCTGGTACCTTGAAGGCACCCGTGGAAGAGTGTATAACTGTCTATGGTCTATATACAGGCCGGCTGCATAATGTGTGACAATAAAGAGGTAATGATGCTGTGTACTGTCTGGTTATCACCCTATATAATAACTGCATTATTAATGGTGTAGAAAATATAGATACATAATTCGAAGTGGAAATTTTACTTGTAAAAATTTCTGTTAAAATGTACAAGCTAGCGGCTGTAAAATGAAACACTAAGGGATTTATTAATTTATAATAATAATAATTATTATTATTATTATTATTATTATTATTATTGTTAAAGTGTCCGAAATTAAAACAGTGACATCAATTAGACAAGCTTGCTGAGGTTTTTTCTAAGCTAAAATGGGTCAGGATTTCCAACACAACGGCAATTCAATTAGACTAATTAATTTGCAATTACAGCAAGAGACGAAATGATATTTCATAAATATTTCAATTAAATCATCACATTACAAATATGTAGAAAGCTGACAAATTATTAGAGCACACAAAATTAATGTAGATCGTATTAACTGTACTTGCTGAATAATAGGATCGATTTAAATGAGATCTGATGTGCAGAGCAATGCATGGCCAGTGGTTTAATTAATTAAAATCACTTACCTTGCTGTCTGCTATGTCAGTTCACTGAGACAGATACAGTGCTTATAAATTCATTATATGTCAGACCCTCTAGATAGACACACTGAAGACGATGCACTGGTAAAATAATATGAGTCCCACACTGGGGACAAATCTAAATAATTATCAAGGACTCACATTGAAATCAGGATGTCTGATTGGTCACAATTATTGTATCTTGTGATTGGATAGATTAGTGATAGATTGATAGGTGATACAGAACTGTTACTGATTTTAAAAGTGTGTGAAATCAATACATCACCAATACAGACATTACATATATACACACATAAATATATATATATATATATATATATATATATATATATATATATATATATATATATATATATATATTAAATGTATTGAATTGTTTTATTTATTTTTTTGCAATAATTTTATTCTAATTTCTTTTAAATTATTTTTTATTCATTTTTATTTTTTAGTCATTGACACATAAATATATATAAATATATATATATATTAAATGTATTGAATTTTTTAATTTAATTTTTTGCAATAATTTTATTCTAATTTCTTTTAAATTATTTTTTTTTAATTTATTTATTTTTATTTTTTAGTCATTGACATATTGACAGAGATCACACATTACAAGAATTGTGCCTGTCACGGAATGGAAAGGGTTAACTCTACCCACATCCTGCTGTAGGTAGTGAAATATCTAGGGATCAATAAACCATGTAATCCTTATGTCTTTCTTTCTTTCTTTCTTTCTTTATTAATTAATTGATTGTCATATTTTGGAAAGGCACACACCTATGCACAGAACTTGCTAAAAGTTGTCACTTAACTGTGGAGATCAGGAGTCCCATAAAAAGCTGGGTGAAGAGTCTCGCATTAACCAGATGCTAGTATCTTTTGTAAATAGCCTCATAAAAAGAAGAGCCGTAGATTGTTATTTTGTTAATATTTTATCATGTGTAAATATTTTATAACGTTTTAAGGGAAACTATTGATACTAAATTATTAAGTTTGACAGAGGGACCTCTGAATTATGCATACTATTAAACACGTTTATTACCTATACATTTGAGAATATGACTTTTGGTTTTGAAATTCACTTTTCCTATGGGTGTTTATGCTTTTTAGCTTGAAATAAACATAAATAAACCCAGCTGTGTGTTATTTTGCTTTACTCAAAAATCATGTTTGTATGTGTTTTTTTTTTTTTATTAATACAACAATAAAATTAATTGAACAGTTGCATTCAGATATCATTATTGTCTGCAGTTAATGTTATCACTGGGTATAGTTTTTTTATTGTATATTGTCTTTATTGTCTTTATTTATATATATACATATATATTATGTATTTCTATTTTGCACAATTATTAAGAAAAACAGCACAAAATTAAAATGATGTAAAATATATGAATGCAATTGAATTGCTGTTTTAAATAAAAATAAAGGGCTTTCAGTATGATACTTAAGGTGGAAATTAACACCAATACAAATATCTGGAGTCAGAGGGACACACTCAAACGAATTATTTTTTTATATTTAAAGGGAGACTAATTATAAGGTAGCAGTGATAAAGTATTCAGATCAGGAGATGCTATTCTTTTAACCTATTTAAAGAACTATAATATAGCGATTTGAATGCTTTGTTTAAGTTTTCAGGACACATTATGTTTTGTCTTCCTTATAATAAAAAATTGAAACTTAAATGATTATTCTTATTGTTTACGCTTATACATATGTGTGTGTGTGTGTGTGTGTTTTCTGTCTGTCTGTGCATACGATACATATGGTGTGTGCGTTTCTTAATATACATTACATATATTAAACATTTAGGAACCAATATGTCTTCGAGATGTATTTAAAAATTAAAGGATTATTGTTTAGAGCTGACGAGGTGATTAAATTACATTTTTCAAATCTTTATATTGGTTAAAAGCGTTCCAATCGATAACAATGCAAACAATGTATTTTTGGTATTTTTTGTTTACATCAGACAGTGTGGGCTTATTTAAACATTCAAAGGTGTGTGCACCTCCAGAGTGAACATTTACAAGTGTGAAAGGCAGGATTCTGATGGTTCTGAGTCTAATTTCCTTGTTTGTAGACAGCAATAAAATATTTGTCACAAAACAAATGTCTGTCTGCAGATTACTGGGTAGGTTAAAGAATAATCTACAAGAATTGCTCCTGTCTTCTTCCTTGAAAGAATACTTTACCCCCTCCTACAACATGGGGGTAACATTCCAGAAACAGCTAAAATCAGACACAGCTCACTAACACACATTTTCACTGACAGTACAAAAAACACACACACAAAACACATACATTACAAATACATCTTGAATGTGTGTGTAAAAATAAATCTTATAAATAAATGTAAACGTATATATGTGTATATGTGTGTGTGTGCATGTGTGTGTGTGTGTGTGTGTGTGTGTGTGTGCATGTGTGTGTGTGTGTATATATATATATATATATTTTTTTTTATTATTATTTTTTTAGATTATAAATAAAGTGTATATGTTTTAATACATTCCATATGATTATTAATATGTTCCTTGCGCCATGGTCGATTACATTTTTAAAATATTGAGCTATTAACATTAAAAGAAATTCCCAATGTAAGCCTCTGTTTATCATCAAAAAGAGTTTAAAAAATAAATATCTTTTGCGAATCAAAAGGTAGAATTTTAAAGACCCATTAAACACCTAAATGACGCAAAGCAAAAAGTTAAGAGAATATATTACCATCTAACGATCCAAGTATTTAAAAACATCTTAAGCTTTTCATTGAAGTAATTGTTTCACTTTGGGTGTTCACCCCTTCACCTCTACACACCCAAAATATTCCACTTTCAAATAAAATAAATAAAAAAAATAAAAAAAAATATATATATATATATATATATATATATTTATATTTATATTGCATGATAAATTGGATTTTCCTTTCTGGAGAGAAATGGCCTTTTTTTACCACCCTCTCTCTAGAAAATCTCCAGAGAATCTCACATTTGACAAGGTAAAAAACTTACCATTGCAAAGTTCTGGCATTTGTCATTCTGTATGTATGAAAGAAAGATTAATAGTCTATCAACATATAATGATATGAAGTTGTAGAGGGGATTGTCTTTTAAAAACCCAGGCTCCTTTAGAAGAATGTGAATACTCAAAATGGGACTAAAGCTAAAATCTGCTTTAAAAAAAACAAAAACAAAAGAAAAAACAATTTAACCCTTTATGTGCCAGAGGATGATACACAACTACCATCATACAAGGTGTTAATATGGCCTCTGTCCAAAAGTCCTTATCTGAGATAGCCACATGCTTAGTTTATGGAGACAAGCTGTGACGAGCTAAGTTGGTGATTTTTTTTTTTCAAAATTAATTATGGTTTTGTCTAAATTTAGTAATTCGATTTTTAATTCAATGTAATTCATTTTTTTATTTCTGTATGCATTGCTCCAGGTTAGCTCTTTGCAGTGGAATTCTTCCAGTATGGCCTTGATCACTGTGACAAATTGTACTTACTGGCTGCAAAAATAAATATATATATAAGTGCACATGTGGGCTCCCACTCTTCTTGTTCCTCCTCACACTACCCCCTAGTGGACATCTGCAAAACTGCACACTTATATTCCAAGATTATAAAAGTGTAGTCTTGTTTATCATGTTATAGTATACATTTCTTTAGTAGATCCTATGTTGGTGGTGTAAGTGAACAAACAATCCTCTTGTACTCTAAGAAATAATGACTATAAAAAAAATTGCATGCTTTTAATGATTCACATTTCCCTCCCACCATAATCCAAAATTATTTTGCAAACTGAGGTGTAACATTTGAAGATTTTCACATAATAAAAATATTATTTCTTTGAGTAGGTAACTCTGTCATATTTAATGGTCTGATAAAGCAACAGAGAAAAACTGAGTGTGCATATTATTTAAATAACTGATACAATTCTCTTACAGGCTATTGTCTGACAGTAAAATTAATTAGGATCTGTCAAAGAACAGTACAGTACATGATGGGAGTACACAGGGAGGTGTTGACTGAGAACAAAAGTGCCTTCTGTGAGTGAAAATGAACTTACAGACTATGTGACAGTTTTCACAATTGTGACTTTTGATTATACACACACACACACACATATACACAGACAAACACACAAACATACACACACACACACACACACCACACACGCACACACACATACACACACACATACATACACACACACACATACACAAACACACAAACACACACACATACACACACACGCACACACACATACACACACACATACATACACACACACACACATACACAGACAAACACACAAACATACACACACACACACACCACACACACATACATACACACATACATACACACACACGCACACACACATACACACACACATACATACACACACACACACATACACAGACAAACACACAAACATACACACATACACACACCACACACACATACATACACACACACAAGCAAAGGAAATATGTTATATGTGTTTTATGTGCAGGTGTGGATTTTACTAAAATTAATTAAATACCAGACTTTAATTAATGCTTAAATTGCAAATTACAATTGTCTCTAATGGTATGTTGCAGTCTTGATTAATTTTAGAGTCACAAATATGTGTGCATCATTGAAAATGTAGTCCTCAAACTCATACAGTATCTTTGCTAGGCATAACTGGTATATTATACCATCTTGATATACCAATGATAGCTGTGCTTGGCGTTATATAAGATTTTTATTACTTTACTATCCTGATACCTATGGTGCATTATAACATTCCATCAGAGAACTTATAGCGAATTTCAAAGTGAAAGCCAATGTAGTCTAGAAATCCAGACAATGCTTCCAATTCAGCTACTTTGGCCTTAAATTTGAGATTACAACACTTTGAATTGTCACTCTAGTGATTAACCCTGTATGTGATATGAAAACTGGATGGAAACATACAGAGTTTTTACCGAATAAATGCATCCAAGCTGTGGGATTCCCCTGCATGGACACATGACTGACTGCATCCAGTATACAGTGTGTAAGTAAGTATACACATCCACTAAACAGGGACCAACAAAGAATACATGGTGTGAAGGTCAGAGCAAGGTTAAAGGCAGTCTCGGTTCTATATAAACAGGTGCACTGTTACATTTCACAAGTTACCAATAACCCCAAATGGTGCTATCACCCATCAACCCAATATGCTGATATTACGGATACCCAATGGTTAATCCTATAGGAAATGAACATATACTGTGAAAGGGAAATTGACAATTTAACTCTTTCTTATTCACTATACACACTTACCCTGCATAAATTGCACGCACATTTTAATTTACACTTTGAAGAATGATGAAATCATCTATCTATTACAATCTGTGCTTTGCATTCACATCCCATGTTTAACAGAGTTCTAATACAGTGCATGTGTGAGGGTGTTATGTAGAGTCTGCAAGAAGTTCATAGAGTTACTCTGAGGGATCTGAAGGGTTATTGTGTGCTGTAAGTCACACTACTAGCATTGGAGCACTGGATATGCAGATTGGTAATGGCCAATGGGGGACAGAGGGCAATTAAAGCCCCCCCCAAAAAAGGAAAATCATTAAGGTGTGAGGACGGTCTATGACTGATGGTTTCGGGGTGAGCAGTCATGAATGTGTTAAAGGATGGATTCAGGAGAGCTTCTCATACACAAATCTCTGTTAGTATGGACCACCCATGGGGCACCAGCAGGAGGAGCTCTGATAGGTCCCCAAACCTTCACCAGGTTAATTCTCACATTCTGCCACTTAGAAGCTACATTCACAGCAGTTATATATATATTATATTATATTACATTTACTGCAGTTATTATTAATATAAACATTATCTAAAGGCAGAACTCCAATATATATGTTGGTATACAACTAATCATACATTAGAAAATCTCTAACAAATTATAATATATAAGGACTCCCCAAATTTTTTATACCACGTATTTCGTGTTAGTAATCATCCAAGACATTTTTAAAAACTTCTATCAACCTACAACCAAACATTATTAAATTTAGTATAAACCTGAAGCTAATCGCCATGTACTAACTATCGCACATTTATATTGCTCCATACACCATCGCTAAGTGTACCTATTGGTACATCGACAACATATTATTAAATAATGCCATGTGCATTACTAGTTAGTGCATGTATTGTATCTGTTATTTATCAAATATTACCGAATAGATTGTCCCGTAATACCGGTTCCACCTTAGTACATCTCCAAAATATTATCACCTATTACTGATCGAACAACAGGATATGCCACTTGTATCACGTTATTACAGCTCCAACATATTATTATATATCAAATATCTGTATATCTGTAAAATATGCCACCTGTTGCAGATTAATAGATTATCACATGCCAATATCAATATGTGAAATATATTGCCATATAATGTTACCAGTGACAAAATATAAAATACCTATATATTTTACTACCATAATCACCTTGGTATATCTCCAGCTTATTATAACATAATGCAACTGCACGTTAGTACACCTGAAATATATTTTTACTTACTACATGTTGGGTATTTGGGAACATCGAAATTAGCCATGTATTACTTATCATAAGTCAGTACAA